CATGGAGTGAAAAGTAAAGTAATAGTAACGAAAGTAAAGATAAAGCAATAATAATGGAAAAATGACAACCTTAGAATCAGAAAGCTTGAGCGAGAGAGAGCAGTTCTCTCCAGATGATCTCTCATCTCGCTCTCTTGGTCTGCTAATTGTCTCCACACCGCTTTGCCGCCCTCTCCTGGAGTTACATCCAGTCAGTGTAAAAACTAACCTACGGCAATAAAGTGCGACTTAATTCGAAAACCACAGAGTTTTATTTTCCGCGACGCGCAAAATATTCTTTTTCCGTTTCGAGTGCCAACATCCAGAAGGAAGTCCACCCCCACTGCACAAGTAAAAGGAGCTTGGTGCAGCGGGATCGAATCGCACCCGCGTAAAGAATAAGAGTAAATCTAGTGGATATGATATCGAATTCGAGTTAGAGTAAGCTAGGAAAAATAATAGAAAGAAAAAGGAGAGGATTATAATCGTGAACAGTGAGTCGTTACAAGTAGGTGATTATGAGTGAATTGAATAATGTCGATGCAGCCGAAAAGGAAAAGAGGTCAAGTTGAATAACGGAAATTATTAAGCGTCGACTTAGGCATGGGTACCAACAGCTCGGCGTTGAGTAGGTCGGTGCGATCAACGAGCATTTCGAGCGGGGTTAGCTGCAGGTCGATGAGTCGATGCGCACCGAGTGGTCCGGTCGAGAGGTTCGATCGACGACGGTTGCGGTTCAATGTTTGATACGCAATGGTTCGATCGAACAAACTCGGGCACCGAGTGGAGTTAGAGGTAGCAAAACAAGAAAATAATGACTAACGAATATTATACAAAAAGGTGCACTGTGTCATTTAATTGGTGAAATTTTTATTTCGGTTGGGCTTTCAATTGTATTAAACGGCGAACTGAAGAGCACGGGGCGACTGTTTACAAGGGAAGTGCTAATTCGAGGTAATATTGGGAAATAATAGAAGAATCCGTCGCGTTGTAACGCACAGGGCGGTCGTTTAGCATGAAGGTGGAAAGAGTAGAACAACGGAAGGAATGTATAAATTACAAAATCTGCTCATTCACACGTATTAGGCGTCACACTGTAGTGCACAGAGTGATCGCTTAGCGTAGGGATGACAGAAGACAATTATAAGGCCAGGAGTGATATAGAAGAAATAAAGAAAAGAACTTGCAATGACTGTCCGCAATTAGTTGTGAAGCTGTATCTCACAGCTGAGCAACTAGCTTCAGCATGCTAGGTGTTCGCGCCAGAGCGGCGCTTTCCAGTCCTTTTTGAACCGCCCCTGGAGTCTTAACAGTCGTGAGAGCAGTTCTTCCAGATCACTTGCATCTCGCTCTCTGGCACTGTTAAGGGTCTCCAATCCGCTCTCGGAGCGGCTCAAAAAGTTTCCACCCCGTAGTTTAAGTTAGTTCTAATTTCCAAGTGTAAAAGTGAAGTCGTGAAAATAAAGAGTGAAGTTTTTTTTATAACGTTTAACGAAAACTTTGCCCGCGTTTTTATTCCACCCGAAATTTCCAATAAGAAGGAAGGAAGATCCGCCGCCCTACACCCCAATATTTTGGTCCTTCGAGCCGGATTATTTTCAACAACTACCAGCGACCACACCGGCGGAGTTCTGAGCGCTATTCAAATTCAAGATAAGTACGAATTTTCCATATTTCCGTGGCCGACCAGTCAGATATTTCCCAAGATCCCAATTTTCTTATATCTGTCTGATCGGCTAATTCCATTTGTGCATACGATCGCCATATTCCGGCTTCTTTTCCGTATTGCTATTTCCACCTTTATACGATCGCCATATTCCGGCTTCTTTTTTCGTATTGCTATTTCCACCTTTATACGATCGCCATATTCCGGCTTCTTTTTTCGTATTGCTATTTCCACCTTTATACGATCGCCATATTCCGGCTTCTTTTTTCGTATTGCCATTTTCCGGCTTTGCTCTCCTTACATTTCCCAATTTACATACATACATAAACACATAAAATCTAGATGTATGCTTTTTAATGTACGTACATATGCTTGACGGTCTCAACATATGCACATAAGGAGAAACATTTACACACTTCTATTCGCGGTATATCCAGCTAACATTTCGAGAGCGGCATTTACAATACAGTCCACATTATATACAATTTCCAAAATTACAGCAAAAATTGCAAAGAGAAATAAAAATAAATCCGAAATTAAAATTATTTTGTGTGAGCAAAGATCTTTTCCAGTGTGTGTATTCCAAGTGCATTTACATAAGCAGCAAGCAAGGAACGAAAGCTCTGCATATGTGCATTGCATGCGTCCAGCATTAAAATCAAAGAGCAATAATATAAATAAAGAGTGTTGTGCGTGAGCTGGGGCAAGCATATTTTCGTTGCCCACTGTGTTTCATTCCAAGTGCTTTTGACATCCAAATATATATACATATGTACACGCACATATGTATGTCAAAGCCCAAATAATTATAGTGACACACATATCAATCCAAACACACATATCCATACATACACACATATCCATACATACAATCATATAACCCAAATGCATGCTTATTAATGTACAGTGGCGGACTAAAGTCTACATACGACCCTATTTTTCGTATTTTCCCCACTCCTATAGATTTTAAAAGAAAAGTAATGATGCAGTCCTGTTTTAACTGTTATTATAATACAAAAACCAAAATTTCATTTTTATTTAACATAAACTTTTAAAGTTAAAAGCGAAAAACTAAAAAAGGCACTGACAAAAGTTCACATACGATTCGTTGGTTAGCTCTTCTATGATTTAATACTAATATATATACTACATTTAATATTTTGTTGGTCCACCATTGGCATCAATGACTGCTTGTAGTCGTCTGGGCATTGAAGCAACCAAATTTTTCAGCTCTTCTTTTGTGATTTTATTCCATTCCTCTTGGAGCCTCTCTCTTAAAATAGGAGCACTCTTTATCTCGTGTTTTCGAATTTTTCGCTCCAAGATTTCTCAAACGTGCTCTATAACATTCAAGTCGGGGCTTTGTGGTGGGGAATACAATTGCCGGGGAGCATAATACAGCAGCCAATCCTGTACAATCTTCGCCGTGTGCTTAGGATCATTATCCTGTTGAAAGATTCAGCTGCTATCGAGGCATATTTTGTCTACAGAGGCCTTCAAATTATTTTCTAAGATGGTCTTATACTGAAATCGATCCATATTACCCTCAACAAAGACCAAATTACCCACTCCCGAGGCTGCAACTGCTCCCCACACCATGCGATGGATCCCAAGCATCTTATTACGACTGTAAAGCACGGAGGTGGGAGTGTCATGGTGTGGGGGAGCAGTTGCAGCCTCGGGAGTGGGTAATTTGGTCTTTGTTGAGGGTAATATGGATCGATTTCAGTATAAGACCATCTTAGAAAATAATTTGAAGGCCTCTGTAGACAAAATATGCCTCGATAGCAGCTGAATCTTTCAACAGGATAATGATCCTATGCACACGGCGAAGATTGTTCAGGATTGGCTGCTGTATTATGCTCCCCGGCAATTGTATTCCCCACCACAAAGCCCCGACTTGAATGTTATAGAGCACGTTTGGGAAATCTTGGAGCGAAAAATTCGAAAACACGAGATAAAGAGTGCTCCTATTTTAAGAGAGAGGCTCCAAGAGGAATGGAATAAAATCACAAAAGAAGAGCTGAAAAATTTGGTTGCTTCAATGCCCAGACGACTACAAGCAGTCATTGATGCCAATGGTGGACCAACAAAATATTAAATGTAGTATATATATTAGTATTAAATCATAGAAGAGCTAAACAACGAATCGTATGTTCACTTTTGTCAGTGCCTTTTTTTAGTTTTTCGCTTTTAACTTTAAAAGTTTATGTTAAATAAAAATGAAATTTTGGTTTTTGTATTATAATAACAGTTAAAACAGGACTGCATCATTACTTTTCTTTTAAAATCTATAGGAGTGGGGAAAATACGAAAAAGGGGGTCGTATGTAGACTTTAGTCCGCCACTGTACGTACGTACATATGCCCGTAACGTAAGGCGGTATACCCATTTGGAACGCAACATTTACACATATGCCCGTAACGTAAGGCGGTACACCCAACAAAGATTTCAAAAGCGACATTTACAACATAGCCAATATCATTTATAATTTATAAATAAAATATAAAATATAATAAAAAACAATTTATTATATATTATATATATTGCAAAATAACCCGATTCCACCGAACACAATTTATTATATTATACATATTGGAAAAATATCCTGAGTCCATCGAACACAATTTATTATATTATACATATGGGAAAAATTTCCTGATTCCACATCAACACTATAAGCCGTTCCAACTTTTGCATGATATTTATTTCAGCAGCGCTATTTCGCACACGCCGTCGGCACACATCCATTAAATAAATAATAAATAAATAAATCCTTTTTGTGTAAGCCGTGGCGGTGCGAATCGTATTTATTTCCATATTCCTCGCGATCATTTCCGCAGCTCAGCAACCAACTGCAAATATTTTGCAAAACATTTTTTGGTCGAATTTTTTGATATTTTGCTCGCACATCAAAGCAGTGGTTACAAAAAAAAAAAAAAAAAACTTTTAATTGGTACAACTGTTCCGTTTCCACATATTCCAAAAATAGACCGGAGCTGCAACGCTAAGAACGAACACAAGCGGACCGCTTGCAATTGTCTATCACGAGGAATCGAAGCAGCCACTGCGCTTTATTAATTTTTTTGTTTGTTTTCTTGAATCAAAATCAAATTAATTCCATACGTTTTTGTCGCGTCGCATACATTGACATTGTTGACATTCCGCTATTAGAATTTTCGATATTTGGAGCCGCACCTGTATTGATCGGAAGTTATCGATTCCATCCTTCCGTTTCCTTTCAAATACACCCCGGTGATCCGCAACAGCGGAACCACATTCCAGTACAGACTTTTCCGGAGTGTCAAATTACCACAAAGCCAGCCAGGGTTGCCTAGTTAATCTGATTTCGGGAATGCCAGAAGACAAAACAAAGTTATCGGTTCCATCTGCAAATAAAACGCGATCGCTATCCGCTTCTCCTCGCGCGCGCACCTCAAGCGCAGTAGTTCCGACATCAATAACCAAGGCAAAGAGCGAAACTTCATTAGACACCCAAGAGGGCGAAAAGAAGTTGTCTGTTCCTACGAGCAATCCGAAACGATTGTCGCTCACGCCTAAGGTTAGGTCACAGATCCAGACCAAGTCCGTAAAGTCGCTGGCAACTCGTTCTCAGGCAAAAATGAGCAACGACATTGCAATTGCAGCCCTCGCGCGGTTCATAACGGTGTCCGACCGCATGAGCAATTTCAGAGCGACCATAGAAACTCCAGGGCCGTCAGCTCCGTCCGTCCACACCTGCAAAGTCCGTAAGGAACAAGTACGCTCACTCTGGGAAAAGGCCGAAAAAGAATTCGAAGCGTGTTTAGACACGATTTTCAGCATTACGACTGAAGGAGCGGAGGAGATTCTGGCGACTCTGCATCGAAAGTATGAATATTGCTATTCGGTGTATGAGGAGCTATCAGTTCATCTCAGCGAGCTGATGGACCAAGCCACTCCGCAGCAGTCGACAGCGAGCACCACTAATCAGTCCGCTTACATCTCGTCTGGGTGCCGGTTACCACCATGCGATACAGAAGTATTCGAAGGAGATTACCTAAAATGGCCAACATTTAGGGACCTTTTTACAGCAGTCTATGTCAACAATCCTAGGTTGACACCGGTCGAAAAGCTTTTCCATCTCAATGCTAAAACTAGCGGCGAGGCTAAGGCAATCGTAGCCAAGTCCCCTCTCACAAATGAGGGTTTCGACTCAGCATGGGCAGCGCTTCGAGACCGTTTCGAAAATAAAAGACTGCTAGTAAACAGCCAACTCAAGCTCCTTTTTAACTTGGCGTCCGTCAGTTCCGAATCAGGCCAGGCTCTGAAAGATCTTCAGAGCACAATCCAAGGGTGTTTGGTCGCTCTGGCTCATTCCAAAATTTCCACAGAGAATTGGGACTGTCTCCTAGTATTCCTGTGCGCCAGTAGATTACCGAAACTGACTCTATCCTTATGGGAGCAGTCCCTTTCATCGAAGTCCGACATTCCGACTTGGGATGAGATGAACACGTTTCTTGGTGACCGATACCGAACGCTAGAGGCGATTGAGGACATGAAACCAAGTCACAGCAATCACTCTACCACTAAGAGTCAACCCGTCTCCAGGAGGCTCAACTCCTTCGAAGCTAAAGTGGTTTCCAAACCGAAGAATTGCGATCTGTGCTCAAAGGAGAATCATCCAGTCCGCTTATGCCAGCGTTTTCTCCAGATGTCTGTCGATGCGCGGACCAACTACATCAAGAAGAAACAGCTGGGCCTAAATTGTTTCGCGAGAGGCCATCAGCTACGTGAATGTACGAGCACTCACAGCTGTTTCACATGTCGAGCTCGGCATCATACGTTGCTCCATAAAGGCAACCCCAATTCCAGTGGGTCAACTACGGGAAATATTTCTTTTGCAAGCCCACAAAATCCAACTGTACAGAGGGCCGCCAACGCTTCAGAAAATCTGCCCGGTGTGCAGAATTATTTCGCAACCGGTGCCAGAGCGGTTTTACTAGGTACGGCCATCATTGACATTTGCCACTTGGGTACGAACTACAGGGCTCGCGCTCTAATAGACTCGGGTTCTGAGGCTACGTTTATTACGGAACGCCTGTTCAATTTAATTAAGCTGCCATTCCGCCTCATCCAAGTCCAAGTTTCGGGCTTAAATAAGACCATTTCCGCTCAGGCGACCAGGCTCTGCCATTTTTCGATTCGAGCTCCTAATAAGCCAGGCCTTCAGCTAGAAACCGCAGCTTACGTTCTGCCTGAATTGGCCGGAACGCTACCGTCCTATCCAATCCCACGAGATGCGCTGAGTGATTTACCTGCTATCCCCCTGGCAGATCCTACATTTCTTGAGAGCTCCCAGATAGATGTTCTGATCGGAGCCGACATGTTACCATCCGTTCTGCTGAACGGCATGCGCACAAACATTTGTGGCTCTCTTCTAGGTCAAGAAACTATTTTTGGCTGGGTGCTTACCGGCCCAGTTTCAAGTACATCTAGTCAGAATCGAGTATCCGCTTTCACGACCCAGATAACCGAAACGGGTGACAGAGTCTTAGAAAAACTTCTCACTAAGTTTTGGGAGGTGGAGAATATACCCACTAAAAGGGTAAAGGACTCCGATTCCTATTGCGAAAACAATTTTCTCCAAACGACCACTAGAGACGCAAGCGGGAGATACGTAGTATCTTTACCATTTCGCGAGCCTGAAAATCTCGGGTCCCAATTGGGGCACTCGCGATCCAGTGCCCTAGCTCAGTTTCTTAGAAACGAAAACCGTTTGAAGAGAGACTTTCCATTAAAAGAGCAGTATGACTCAGTCATTCAAGAGTATTTGGATCTGGGTCACATGAGAGAAATTCCCCCGTCGTACGATTCTCCAAACTATTACCTGCCACACCACGCGGTGATCAAACCCGAGAGCACTACCACCAAACTTCGCGTGGTATTCAATGCTTCTAGCCCTTCATCCAATGGGACAAGCTTGAACGACATTCTTCATGCTGGTCCAGTCCTACAATCTGATTTAACCATTCAGATATTGAAGTGGCGTTATTTCCAGTACGTGTTCAGCGCAGATATCACCAAGATGTACCGTCAAATCTGGGTCGATCCCAAACATACGCCGTTCCAGAGAATCTTATTCCGGAATAAAGAAGGACAAGTAAGCGATTTCGAGTTAAAAACAGTCACCTTTGGTGTTAACTGTGCACCATTTCTGGCACTCCGCGTACTCCAACAATTGGCAGACGACGTAGAAAAGGACTTCCCTGCAGCAAGCAATATTATTCGTCACTTTATGTACGTAGACGACGTTCTGGCAGGGACCACTTCCATACAAGAGGCTCGACTGGCAATCAGCGAACTTCGCCACGCTTTCAGCAGCGCCAGGTTCCCATTGAGAAAGTGGACGGCCAACCAGAAGAGCATACTCGAAGACATCCCAAACGAGCATCTACTCCACGAAGACTTTCGCGATCTTCATTCCGAAAGCTTTGCCAAAACACTGGGCGTTCGGTGGAATGCGACCTCGGACGAGTTCTGTTTTGTTCCACCGCTAGTGTCGATTAAATCCACTCATACGAAGAGAGAGGTTCTTTCCCAAATTGCGAAGCTTTTTGACCCAGCCGGATGGCTGTCTCCGTTTATTGTCCGCTCAAAAATCTTTATGCAAGAAATTTGGTTGCAGGAGTTGGGCTGGGATGAAAACATCCCCACAGAAATGGATCAAAGATGGCAAGATTTTTTGCGCAGCTATTCCGAGCTTGAGCAGATCCGCATTCCAAGCTGGGTTGGTTTCCAGCCAGGAGTGAAGGTAGAGCATCACGGGTTTTGTGATGCGTCTCAGAAGGCCTATGGGGCCGCTATATACTTACGGGTGGAAGTAGGCCACAACATTATGACACGTCTGCTTACCGCCAAAACCCGAGTCGCCCCTGTTAAAACGGTGTCCCTTCCACGGCTCGAGCTGTGTGGGGCATTGCTGTTGTCAGAGATGACTGCAGCTATCCTTCCGAACATGCCAATTTCCAATTCCGACATTTTCTGCTGGACCGATTCCACCATCGTCCTCGCATGGTTGAGCAAGCCGGCATGCCACTGGACCACGTTTGTCGCCAACCGGGTGACAAAAATTACTCAGGTGACGAGCGCTGAGCATTGGGCGCATGTGCGATCCGAGCACAATTCCGCGGACCTGGCCAGTCGAGGCGTTTCGCTGCGGGAGCTGGTTCATAGCCAACTCTGGTGGGAAGGACCGGACTGGTTGCAACAGCCGAAGGACATGTGGCCAACACGGGAGCTAGGACCTCCAGTCACAGACATAGAGCAGCGTGCTGTGAAGGTCAATTTCGCCAAGGCCCCATCCGAAGTTTTTTTGGAACGTTTCTCCGCGTTGGACAAGGCTCTGCGGGTCCTTGCGTACGTAATACGGTTCACTCAACGCTGCCGCAAGATGCCGAGGGACGCTGCTGAGCGACCCACCAAGGAAGAGGTCCAAGAAGCTGAAAGAGTCCTTATTCGAAATGCTCAGCGGGGAGAATATACCCAAGAGCTCAAAGTCCTAAACGATAAGCGTCCGATTCCAGTTTCCAGCCCGACAGCCAACCTGTTTCCATTTCAAGACCAACAAGGCCTGTTAAGGGCATGTGGGCGCATTACGGCCTCAACGGCCCTCCAGTACGACGAGCGGCATCCTATTATACTGCCATACAACTGTCGGTTAGCTCGTCTTCTCGTCCTTTTTTCACACCAGATTTCCCTGCATGGCGGCAACCAACTAGTAGTACGCCTCATCCGATCGAAGTATTGGATTCCTAAAATCAAAAATCTGGTAAAAGCTGTGCTGAGCTCCTGTAAGGTGTGTACTATTTACAGGAAGAGAGTCCAGACGCAATTGATGGGCGATCTCCCGACCGATCGAGTTTCCTTTTCCAGGCCATTCACATATACGGGCATGGATTATGCAGGCCCGTTTGAAATCAAAAACTATACTGGCAGAGCATGCCTTATTACCAAGGGATATGTTTGCGTGTTTGTGTGTTTTTCCACGAAGGCTATCCATTTAGAGCCTACGTCCGACCTGACAACGGAGAAGTTCCTCGCAGCATTTGCCCGATTCGTCGCAAGAAGAGGTTGTCCTCAGCGAGTCCATTCGGATAATGGCAAAACCTTTGTGGGGGCAGCGACTCTACTTTCTAGAGATTTCATGCAGACGATCAAGGAGTCTGTAGCTGGAACCTATAGCCATCAGGGACTTGTGTGGCGGTTCATTCCACCAGGGGCTCCACATATGGGAGGATTGTGGGAGGCTGGAGTAAAGAGCTTCAAGGCACTCTTTTACAAGTCGACGTCAAGTCGGAAGTACACGTTTGAAGAGTTCGCCACGCTTCTCGCCAAAGTTGAAGCCTGCCTTAATTCCAGGCCGCTGTCTCCCATGTCCGAAAATCCATCTGAGTTATTGGCATTGACGCCAGGCCACTTTCTGATTGGGGGACCTTTGCTTTCAACAGCTGAGCCTGAAATTAAGGGCGATGCTCAGTCGATTATAAATCGCTGGCAGCACTTAAAGGCCCTACATCAGCAGTTCAGTGCGCGATGGAAGGAGGAGTACTTAAAGGAACTTCACAAGCGCAATAAGTGGCAGACTCCTTCCAGGGATATCCAAGTCGATGACATGGTGGTCGTCAAAGAAGACAACATGCCGTCAAACGAATGGCGGCTCGGCAGAGTTGTATCTGTTCTTCCAGGAGCCGATAGTAGAGTTCGCGTAGTTGAGATCCGTACTGCTCGAGGGACTATAACACGTCCCATCCACAAACTAGTACTTCTTCCTATGGAGGACAAGGCAACCTCCGCCTTTCCAAAATAATGCATTCTGTCCTCCTTCTAGCACTTCTTTCTATGGAGGCCAAGGCAACCTCCGCTTTTCCAAACTAGTGCCTTCTGTCCTTATGCTTCAAAATCCGTCCACAATTGATACTAAGTTCGCTTATATTTTTTTTTATTAAAGCATCGATACCATGGCTCCACGTCCTCGCAGCGCCCAAACTTTGGACGACAGACGTTCTCGAGGTACTCGCTCCTACCGCTGCCGAGTCTGTCGGGGAATCCATCCGCTACGGAAGTGCAGCCGTTTCCTCAGGCTCAGCACGGAGAAGCGGCTCCGCGCCGTTCTTATAAATAAATATTGTGCGAATTGCCTGGCGCATCAGCACTCCAAAGGGCAATGTCGCAGTGGCGACGCTTGCACAAAATGCGGGAAGGATCACCACACGCTGCTCCACCTGCACGAGATGCCCAGGAGTCCTCCAGCCACGCCGCCAATCGCCTTCCCCTCAACGCCGTCCATCGCCCGTCGAGCAACATCGCGCATCGACCGTTCGCCTGTCGAGATCAGTCTCCCGGTCTCCATCACCACCGGCAAGGCAAGCACTGGTACGACGACCAACTCCAGCGGCAACTCCATCCGTAGCGGCTCTAGCGCAGCATCAGAGCCTCCACATTCTCCCGACGGCCATCGTGTTGCTGGAATTTGGGACCACCACCTTCGAGACGGCCGCATTGATCGACCCGTGCACTCCCGTCAGCACCATCGACAGCTCCCTGGCAACTGCCTTCAAGCTCCCCACGACGACAGTGGGGGTGAGGAGGTCTGCTCGACGACGATCCGGTCGAGAACGGGCGATTTCCAGATCGAGGTGCTCCTGAAGATCAGCCCGAAGCTACGCATCCGTACCCCGATCCGCGCGCTGACTGAAGATATGCGAGCCCAGTTCAACGATATCCGTCTTGCCGATGAGCAATTTCATCGCCCAGCAACAGTCTCGCTGGTGTTGGGCTCAGACGTATACCCCGACGTCATCCGGCCCGGGTTCCTAAATATACGAGATGGGCTGCCCGTCGCACAGAGCACGGTATTTGGATGGGTCGTGTCTGGAGCATGCAGATACGCCTAATCCGTTGCTTCGCTCGTCCTCGCAAGGGGGGGAGAATGTTCGCGCCAGAGCGGCGCTTTCCAGTCCTTTTTGAACCGCCCCTGGAGTCTTAACAGTCGTGAGAGCAGTTCTTCCAGATCACTTGCATCTCGCTCTCTGGCACTGTTAAGGGTCTCCAATCCGCTTTCGGAGCGGCTCAAAAAGTTTCCACCCCGTAGTTTAAGTTAGTTCTAATTTCCAAGTGTAAAAGTGAAGTCGTGAAAATAAAGAGTGAAGTTTTTTTATAACGTTTAACGAAAACTTTGCCCGCGTTTTTATTCCACCCGAAATTTCCAATAAGAAGGAAGGAAGATCCGCCGCCCTACACCCCAACACTAGGTTTAACAACGGTTAGATGCAATAATGTTGGTGATGAAAACGACCTGCTTAGATTTGATGGCAAGAAATAGTGATAAATATTAAATCCATTGTTGCTATGATCTTTCAAGAAAAGAAATCGAATGAGAGAATATTTACTTACTCTAATTAATTGCAGAACTCCAAGTCTCCACACGGGAACTCACGAAGCCACTACACTATAACAACAAGAGAAGATAAGAATAACATTGAGATAACCAACCAGCAGAACACGTAGTAAATAAGAACACACATAATATTTAAGAGTAAATTACAACACTAAAATATTAAAGTAAGTATTATAAATAAGAATTGCGAATAAGTATGATAGACTGAGATTTCAAGAGTAATAAGTCCAGAAGTAATGCAGGTAGAAAAAGAACCCGTAGCAATGGCAACAACAAGCGTACTAGAGGCGATTAAGGTAGTGGACCTGGTGGAGATTATTCCCAAATATGAGGGGGAGTCTGGGAAATTAAATGGATTTATAGCAGCGGTAGAGCAGGTGCTAGGTCTTATAAAAGGGGAAGAAAGGTCAAATGTAGGACTTACAGCATTGAGGGCCATTAGGAGCAGGATCGTAGGAGCAGCAGACAGGGTCCTAGATCTAGATGAGTATGAATTGAAATGGAACCGTATCAAGGAAACGTTAACAACACATTTTAAGGACAAAAGGTCGGAACAAGACCTAATTATGGAGTTAACTCACCTAAACGAAAAGAAATTGGACCTTATACACGAAAGTTATAGCCCTGAAGAAAGCCCTTGTCAACCAAAATAAGGCCTCCGAACGGGGGATGATACTCAGGGGAGAGAAGCCCAAGTGGTATGAAGAGATAGCTTTGAATGCCTTCATATCAGCGTTAGACGGACCGGTAGGTGTGACCATAAGAAACATGAGTGTGCCAACTATAGCAAACGCATATGAAATAGCTTGCAGGGAAAGGAACTTAGAAGATATTAATAAGAAGAACTTGGAACTAAAAAATCAAGGTCTGACCGAGCAAAAGAAAGAGATTAAGGAGGTCCCCAAACATGAGCAGGAGGAGATGGCGATTCCGATAGCAGAAACGCAAACGGGCACCTGGGCTCAGTATCGGTGGGGAGACAATGCCCAACCAGCATTCCCAATCCCGTTTGTAATGCCGGGAATAAACGGATGGCCAGGACTCGGTTTTGCATACCCGATGATGGGCAATTCATTTGGGCCAAACAATTTTGGTCAAGGAGACACAGCCATGTACCCAAGGCAGTACCGCAATTACCAGAATAGAAATTCTAAATGGAATTATGGACAGCAAAATCGAGACAGACAATGGAACACTAATTATAATTAAAATAATAACAAGCCCAGAGGAGTAAGCCAATTACCAATTCGGGCACCAAAGAACACGCAAGGTAGTGGTCAATCGAGGATGTCCGGGAATTCCAACTATTCAGGGCAATCATATAACTCGAACAATTCCAGACAGTCTAATTTTTCAAACAATTCCAAACGCTCATATAACTCGACAAACAATCCAAATAGAGGGGAAAACAGCCCGACAACCGGTGGACAGCTTCACAACATCCAAGAGGATGGAAATTTTCAACAACTAGCCTCGAACAACCAACAGGATATCTAGGGACGAGGAAAGGTCACTCCACTCTACCGTATTTGAAGATCAGAAATACTTTGGGAAAAATAGTTAAGATATTAATTGATACAGGATCCATTTTTCTTTTTTCCGGCCTGAATTGGTACAAAGACAATATATAAAAGAATTACGAGAGTCAATAAACATTAAAACAATTACACAATCCCACAAAATTTTGAAAGAAGCATTTTTTATAATGTTCAAAGAACTGGGAGGAGTAGGGGAGATAAGAATGCTACTATTCAAATTTTACCAGTTTTTTTAAGGACTAATTGGAATAGATGTTTTACAGCAACTAGGGGCCATTATTGATGTAGAAAAAAGTGGTTCCACACTACAAGCGAGAAGTTAAAAATTCATTTCGAGATCCACAATAGAAGCAGGTACAAGAAGAGTTATTTCCGTTCCGGTACAAATACAGGATGGGGATTTCTTGTTGAATAAGACATCAATAAAAGAGGACATGATTATCTCAGAAGGTATTTACACAGCGGTAGCCGGACAGAGCCTAGTGAAAGTGACAAATTATGCAGAAGTAGACCAGGAATTATTTTTAGAAGAACCACTGAATGTTATCGAATTCAAGTCCGAACAATACTTCGAACTGACCAACATAGAGGAAGTAGGAAACGGAAATAAGGATATACCGTTTCACAAGATAAGGACGGAACATTTAAATTTCGAGGAATTGGCAGAATTGAAAAGGATTTGTAAAAAATACCCCAAGGTGTTTCATAGGGAAGGGGATAACTTGTCTTTCACGAATGCGGTCAAACATCAAATAAGAACGAAGGACGATATCCCGATATACGTTAGGCCGAAAAGATATGCATTTAAGGAAAGGCAAGAGATAAGGAAACAGTTGGAGAAACTATTGGAGCAGAAAATTATTAGACATAGCCATTCACCATGGAGTGCTCCGGTTTGGCTAGTGCCAAAGAAGAAGGATGCATCGGGAGAGAGGAAATGGAGGATGGTAGTGGACTACAAGAAGCTTAACGAGAAAGAAATCAAGGACAGGTATCCACTACCAATAATTAACGATGTGCTAGACAGTTTGGGAAGAGCAAAATATTTGTCAACTCTGGACTTAGCAAGTGGATACCATCAAATTGAAGTAAAGGAGGCAGATATTCCGAAGACAGCCTTCTCGGCAGAAGGCGGTCATTTCGAATACGTAAGGATGCCGTTCGGACTGAACAATGCTCCGGCGACCTTCCAGAGATTAATGAACAACATTTTTGGAGAATTGCTGGAGAAGTGTTGCCTAATATACATGGACGATAATATGGTATATTCAACATCCCTACAAGAACATATCACGGACCTGGAAAAAGTCTTTAAGAAACTCACGGAAGCCAACTGCAACTGGACAAAACGGAATTTTTAAGGAAAGAGGTGGAATATTTAGGACATGTAGTAACCCAGCAGGGCATCAAACCAAACCCGGAAAAAATCGAGGCAATAAAGAAATTTGAAATGCCCAAGACCAGAAAACAGATCAAGTCCTTCCTAGGGTTATTGGGGTACTACAGGAAATTTATAAATTTTGAAAGGGAAAAAGGCCGTACAAATAGACGAAGAATACATAGGAACATTTGAGGTGTGCAAAACTTTATTGTGTAACGACCCAATATTACAATTCCCCGACTTCGAGAAACAATTCATCCTTACTACAGATGCCAGCAATTATGCATTTGGAGCTATTTTATCCCAAGGGAATTTGGGAATGGATAGACCAATAGCGTATGGTAGTAGAACATTGTCAGGAGCAGAAGTAAATTACGCGACAATAGAAAAGGAAATGTTGGCCATTGTTTGGGCGATTAAACATTTTAGGCACTACCTGTTTGGCACCAAGTTCAAGATAATGACAGATCATAGGCCGTTAACCTGGCTTA